AACTAGCTCTCTCACCCCACCTCACTCCACTGTGCCCTGTCCCCTCATAACTGCTCCTTAAGTGCCTGCTGCCTTCCTGGTGCCTGCATCAATGGTGCTTCCTTGCACCCAGTTCAGTTCTGGGAGCCACTTGTGTCTCTGGTAAAGTCCCACTTGAACTTGCAAGTATGGACGGTGCTGACCTACCTGGCGGCTGCAGTGACCATGATGGACAGCAAGCTCTTGCTGAGACAGAAGCTGCATGCTGCAGTCAGAGAGTGACCACCTTCTGGCCTGTCCTAAGCTCTGCACTGCCTCGTCTGCTGACCATGAGCAAGCTGAGTCTTGGTTTCCTCTTGTTTAAATATGTCTTGCTATTGGAAGTGTGAGGATTAAAATCACTCACATGGACAAGACACTTGGTCAGGGCTGCTGAACAGATGCTGGTGAGGTGGGCAGCCTCTGTTTCATCCATTAGCTCTTACCTGTAAGATCAGGACCAGATTTGTTATCTCTTGAGCCTTTTGGGCAGTAACCTCACGGAGTCATGGGGGCCCTCAGTGATGCAAGCCATGCCCAGCTCCTGATGCTGCTTCTCTGTTTGTGGTGAGAGCTAATCATCCTGTTCTTCATCCTTCCCTTAGTAAAGGGCCTGGGATGACCCTGGGGGTGTCCATGATCTGGGAGAAGGAGGCAGGGTTCCTAGTCCCTTGGCCGACTGGGACAGGTCTGATGGCCACAACAGGGTGGTAGATGAGGCACTGGGCTAGGGCTGTCCCAGGGCAAGATGGTGCTGGGCTTCTCCCAGCATCGCTGACATGCATTTTATAGAGCACAGAGATGCCATGGCTTGCTGAGGAATGGGCGTGGGGTTCTGAGGTTAGGTGCTGTCTGGCTGGCCTGGTGGGAGGTTGATGAACAGAGGCAGTGAAGAGGAAGCTGAGGACAAAGCCTGGGCCCAGGCATGGGATTGGGATGCAGTCTGGGCACTGGCAGTGGAATCCTTAGAAAGCAAGGTAGCAGGTGCAGCAAGAGCTAAGGCTGGAGCAGGCCGATCTCCCCGAGGCTAGCAAGGGCACTGGCACTGCTGACTTCAGCAGTGAGGGGTACTGGGCTCTGGGCCAATCAAGCGTTGGCCCCGGGAAGGATTGCAGGCAGTGGAGGGGTCACGCTGGGTGCCAGCGACACGGGGTGCCTAGGCCCTTGCTGTCTTTCAGAGATGGAGCATGCACCCACGGGAGTCCAGGTTCCACCTGGGACCCAGAGTGGCTGGTCAGAGATAGAGGACATGTGATGGCATTTCCTGCTCCAAGACCAGCCTCCTCTGGCCACCATGACCCCTCTGCTCCTGTCAGCTGCCAGCCTTCATCTCAGTCCACTGAGCAAATACAGAGGTGCTACCTATTCCATCACACTGTAAAATGAAATTGCAAGTCAGATTACGTGGCTAGACTGGGAATCTTCACTTCCACCTCTCTCAGCCTGTAAATTTGCATCAGCCTCTGCCTGCCAGGACAGCAGGCAAGGGAGCCTGCTTTTGCTTTTCCAGGTCCTAAGGCTGGGCCTGCTCAGTCCCTTTCCAGCTAGCCCACCTGTGAGTGGCTTTGGTATAGCTAGGCCTGTCTCAGGTCTAATCTCTTCCACCTTCCTGTAGGGGTCACCCACTTCTCATGAACCCTTGTCAGCTTCCTGTCCCTCACTTCATGAAACTCAGCAGACCAGAGCCCTCTGCCCTTGGTAGCAATTAATAGTGACTGCTCCCTTCACCATGGGCTTCCTGGCCTCACCTTCCTCTCCATGTCCCCCTTGCTGGGCTCTTCCCTCTGCACTGTGGCTTCTCTCCTGGGTGAACTCTACTGTCCCTATGTAGCAGTATCCCATTTTGTATCCAGCCTGGCCATAGCTTTAGCTACCTTTCACTTATGGAACTCCTCAGGGTGCCTCTCTCTACACTCAGCTGTTTCTTCTTTGCCTTAGGGAAGTCGTAGCACTGCCCCTGCTTTCTGAGCCAGAGCGTGGGACTTGGCCTCCACTCTTTGCCTCCAGTTGGTCTCCCTGGGTTCCGCCAGCCTCTGTCTAGCTCTGTGACGCCACCTTTCCCTGGTTGGCTCCTGCAGCAGGCCCGAGTCTTGCCTCCCCATCAATCAGGACTCAGAGCAGCAGCAGAGGGGAGCCTCTCAACACAGGTCCTCATGCCAGTCACTGCTGGCCACCATCAGTACATCCCCGTTAGTCTTAGTGCCCAAATGCCCTCGTAGGGTAAGCGAGCTCTGTGTTTGGGTCCCTCTTTAATGTACCATGGGGAGTTGCTGGACCCACCCCATGTGGGGCTCCAGCCCCCACCAAATTCCCTGGAAGCCCATGGTGGAGTTCTTGCTCAGGATGGTCCAGACTGACTCTCCACTGAATATTCATGCCCCAAGGCTAGAGCAGGCTGTCTTGTGTGTATTGTCACAGTGCCTAATGCATACTGGGTACACAGGACAAGTCTGGGACTGGTATGTATGGCCACCCAGGGCAAAGCTAGGTGGCTCTCTATGTCCACTTCCCAAGGATTTGACACCACTGGGTTCTCACCTGGCATCTCTACTCAGGGCACCCCCCCTTCGTTTCCAGACAGATCTGTCTGCATGATGTCTCATTCATTGGAACCTTGCAAATTAAGTCTTCAAATCTTCAAAATGAACAGTTTTAATACTTTAAAGTTATACATACTTACAGTTTAGAGAGTAAATGAATTCTACAAGATTAAGAAAAACAGTAATTCTGGGTGCCCCTCCTCTGCCTCCTTAGAGTCAGCTACTTCTAATTTGTATGGTGTATTCTTTTGATATTTATCTTTTTCTAAATCACATGCGTATTGCTTGTTGGGTTTTTTCTTTTTCTTTTTGCCATTAGACATCATTTATTGACTTGCAAGGTGAGGACTGAAGTCTCATCATGAGTGTGTGCTCTTTCACAGGCATGCACACATCAACATAGGCACACGTGTCACACATGCATGTTTGCACAGGCAGAACATACACGGGTGCACGTGTAACATGCATGGCCTACATTGGCCTACATGCACACATTGTCCTCATCTGCCTAATTGCTTGTTTTCCCTGGAGTTCATAATGGCCTTCGTGTGCTTAGTGTTCTGAGTCCTCCTAGGGACTCAGCCTGAATCCCTCTTCTCTTCTCTTGGTCTAATGGTCCTTTATGTCAGTGATCCATCATTCTGTCTTCCCAAAGAAGTTTTTCCTGGTCACCAGGAGCCCACCTTGCCAGGACCCAACTTTAACCCTGGTTCCTCTTTCACCTTCCTTTGGGTTCAGGCAGTCTGAGCCGACTTCTTTCCTTAGGTTGCTGCTGAGTCTGATGACCATGTTATCGAGTTTCCATGTGCTAGAGAGCTTTGTTATCCAGGCTTATTCTTAAGGGGTCATATAGTAGGGCTGGGCACTGGAGCCAGGCTCCCTGGACCTGGACCCTTTCTCTGCCACTTACCAGCTGTGTTACCATAGGCAAGGCATCCCACCTCTCTATTTCTACCCCTGTCAGGCCAAGGTAACCCTGCTGTTCACTGGGCTGTGAGTCCAAGCCCATGAAGTGGTAGATTCAGACAAGCACCTGCGTGTGTGATAGGTCTGTGAGTGCTGGCTGTTACTTGGTGGGAGGTTTGCCAAGTGCATTAAAATACTTTTGTCCTCACTGAGAGGTTTTGTTTTGGAAAATGTAGTTATTTTCCATAAAAATATGTTTGTGATTCACAGTAATAGGTTTACCATTGTTACTTCAAAATGAATTAATAAACAGTTGAAAAAAGTCTGTTTTAGTTTCTAGTGGAGTAAATGTAGATACAATTTATATAAGCTAAAGCTCTGAGGGCCGCTGATTCTCAGCAGAATCCTGGGGTCCTGAGACCGAAATGCTTGGAGCCCCACTGCTGCCCTGCTCTGTTGGGCGATGGCACTGGCTGGGGTCTTGCTGGGGTGACGTTGGGTCCTGCCAGCTTCCCCCTGCCCCCACTACTTAGGCCTGCTTCTCCTCTCCGCAGCCCTGTCTGCTCCCCATTCCACCTTTTCTGCTGCAGATCTGTGGGTAGGGGGAGTGGAGTAGTTGCTTTAGGGTCTTTTTAAAGTTTAATTAAATAGTTTTTAGTTATCATATGATTGCTGTGTTGGGCACATTGTGACATTTAAAAAGTTCTTACAGTATATCAGAGTTGAATTCACCCCTGCATCATTCTCCTTTATTTCCCCCTTTCCCACTCCTGGAATAGTTTCAGCAGGGTGCTGTAGAGTCTTCCCTGAGCCTGGCCCAGATGGCAGGTGCTGTGAAGGATGACAGTGGTCTAGGAAGACCCACAGACTGCTGGGGGGGGACATGCAGGGAAGGGAGCCTGCAGGCAGGGCTCTGGAGGTGTCCAGGCTGGAGGCCACACTGCTGCCCAGTCCCTTGCTCTCTAGGTCCCTGAGATGTGCTTCCCAGGAAGAGCAGTTTAGGGTGGGCAGGATGCTGCCCATCCCCCTATGGCTTGTGGCATCCTAGGGAGTTTTGTAGTGAGCACTTACTGTCTGTCAGTACTATTCTGAGCACCTAATGTGTATATCCATTTATTTCTCATTACAAACCTAAGAGGTAGGCAAGTCCTTTTATTCCCCTTACTTTGTAGGTGAGAACACTGAGTCCAGGCATGTCCAGTAGCTCCTAGCAAGCTCCATAGGGAACACATGGCTGGGGAGATTCCCCCAGACAGCCTGGCCCCAGCTGTGCCACCGGTCAGGTGTGACTGAGGAAGACGTTGCTAGGGACAGAGATTTGGCAGTCAGTGTGAGTTCCCTGTGTAGCAGCTGGCCCATACTGTGTGGTAGATACTTGCGGATGGGGGTGGGAACATGAAGAGTCCCACAGTGGGACTCCAGTCTTTAGGAGGTGGCCAGAGAGCTCCCCTCCCTGGGTCCCTGCAGGGAGTGGGCAGGGTATGCCTTCCTCATGGCCATGTGCTCCTGTCTTTACACAGGGAAGGAAGAATGAAGGACCACCTAGAAGGAGATTGGGGGGCTGACTGTGTTGGGGCTGTTGAGAACACTGTGAGTGGCCTTGGAGATGGGTGCGGTAGAACCAGGTGCATGAGGCCTGGGTGGGCTTAGGCCCTGTGCACCCTGAGTCTGTGCTTTATCCTGTTCTTCCTTGTCTTGGTTTTGTGTTTCTTCCAGCTCATCGAGGGTGCTGCCTGCCTCGCCCACTGTAAGAAGATGTCTTATGGACCTGTTGCCAGCGGAGGTGGCCTAGGGAGCTGTGGCTCTTTTGGGACACCCTCCAGACAAGGCTCTCAGCCCCTAGGTAATGGCACAGCTGGCACCTGGTGGGGTCGGGGGATGCCAGTGGGCAGTCTTTGAGTATCATACTTCTCTGAGAAGCATTGCCTGTGATCAGTACCACAGTGACTACTGAGCCCAGGCTGGGTGTGATTCAGGCTCCAGGAGAGGAAGGATGGCGGCTGTCTGCAAGGAGGCAGGCAAGGTGTCAGTGTTGTCGTGGGGCCTGGCTGAGTGATGGGTGGTATCGGTTGGGCTTCTTGATGGTGCTATGGAGCAGGTGGTGCTTTGCATAGTGCACAGGTGGAAGTGGTTCCCTAGGGCTGTGCAGCCGTGCAGGGCAGAGTAGGATCGGCTTTTTGATGTTTCTGATGTGCTGAGCTCTGTTGCCTTTCCTGTGTAGGCTGGACCCCCTTTAGGCCTCACAGCTATCCCAACCTCCCTGCATAGTCAGCTTGAGCAGTGGGTCTGGCCTGGAAGGTAACCTGCTCTGGCAGGCCCCTGGCCACAGTCTCCTGGCCCAGCCTGTCAGGACAGGCTCTGTGAGCTGCTGTCGGAATGGGGAAGGGGTTGAATATAGGGTCCCTGGGCTCTCTGCTTGCCTTTCCTTGCCCTGTGTTAGCCTTGGACTCAGCCTAGCAGCTGCTGTAAACTAAAAACCCTTCCTGTGTGTTGGGCTTGGCGCCACTGAGCTCGGGGCTCTTCTGGATTGAGGGCTCCTTTGAGGCTGGGCCCACACCTTCCCTTCAGCTCTCTCAGGCTCTTGGCTGGTTTTCAGTTCCCCAGGCTGCCTGTTCAGAGGATGGGTCTGTAGGGCTGGATGAGAGTGGTACCTGGATTTACCATCTACCTCCTACCCTTTTGCCTCTCTAGCAAAGCGAGGCTGGTGCCTCCTTGTCTGTGCTGGGATGTGGACAGCAAGACAGACATGGGGCCAGATGTCATGAGAATTAGTCATCTTAAACTCCCTCCTCACAGTACACTGCCATGTAAGGCTTCCCTAGGCCCAGGCTCAATTCTCTGTCCAGGCACTGCCCACTTCTGGCCTTCCCATGAGCATGCTAGCTGCTTGGGCTGCTCTCACTTTGGTCTCCTTCCCTTTATCTTTGCCAGGCTGTGCTCTAGGTGTCAGTAGCATAGGGCAGAGGAAGCAGGTGAGCCTGTGCCTTTGGGGCTGTGTGCTTTCCAGAGGGTTTCTGAGATCGTCTCACAAACACTGTGAACTACAGAAGGCAACAAAGGCTGGGCCAGCCAACCAGGCAGGACCTTGGGGAGGGGATGCTCTGTGGAGTTGGGCAGGAGCCTGGGAGGGAGCATCCATGGAGAGATCTGGGAGGACAGGCAGCAGGGCCAGTGTCCTGCCACATGCCTCCTTCCACATGGCAAGCCACTTTGTCGACATTAGGTTACAGTGCATTCTCTGGGGTGTCTAGTAGTTCACATGTGCAGAGCTCATATGTCATTGGTTAAAGATTGGTGACAACAGGGGTCACCCTGCTGTCACCCACCCTTTCCTGGCCCTGTATAGTGTGTCTGTTGCTTCTTGCTTGTCACAGCTTTACTTCTGTGTGTATGTCCTTGAACGGTGCCTTGCTGAGTATGGCGTGGTTTTGGGCTTTACTGAGTGGATCAGCCTGTTGTGTTGTTGAGTGGATTTGCTTTGGTTTTGTTCCTGAGAGTCTGAGGTATGGCCCATGGCTGTCAGGCTTTCACTGGCCTTGCTGCTCTGTGTTTAGTGCTATGGATTCACCGTTGCCTGTCTGCTTTTCCACGTCCAAGGGACATTTAGATTGCTTCCCCTTCCTTGCCTTCACAGCTGTGCTGCTGAGTTCCAGGGATGGTGCCTGGAATCTCCTGGACATACAGGACAGTCACAGTCCTGGGATGGTGCACCTCCAAGCTCTTCCACCTGCTTGCCCCCACTTCCATGCTCTTCCTCCTTCACACTCCCCCTTCTCGCATTGCTTCTCCTCCCCCTCCTACTCCTTCTCCACACCCCATCCTCCTATTCCTCTGCTCCTCTGTACTCTCTCCTCCTCCTCTGTGTTCCTCCTCCCTCATTCCCTGCACTCTTCCTCCTCCACTTCTTCCATGCTCTTCCATGCTCCCCGTCCCCCCCCCCACCGCCTGGGCTCTGCCTTCTCCACTCCATGTCCTTGTTGGTACCAAATGGTGTCAGGTTGGCAAAGCCAAGAACTGCCTCCCTCATGGGTGTGAAACGGTCTCTGATTTTTATCTGTATTTCTCTGGCAACTAATGGGGATGGTCATCTTTCATGTGTGTTGGGGATTTGGGTCTTCCCATCAGTTAACTCTTTTGGCTTATTGTCCCAGGAGGTTGCCTTGTGCTATGGATCTGTATTCTGGAAAGGAAAGCTGGCTGTGCCACATTTGTGGGCCCACAAATGTGCAGGAGTTCAAACACACCCACACCCTGGGTTTATCCAGGAGGTGCAGCATGGCTGGCACTTTTCTGTCATCACAGGATGGCAGTGATAGCATCCTTTGTTTTTCTCTCTGAGTATATCATAGATGTTCTTCATGTTTAGTCTGTAATCATCGGGAACTGATTTTTTGCTGGTGGTGGTATGAGGTGAGGGGGAAGGGAAATGCTAACGTCACCTTTCTTTATTAAATCGTGAGTTGTTGAGGACCAGTTACTCTGCCTAGAGACCTAGTATGGCTCTGTGAGAGAGCAAGCTTCCATGGGGTCCCCTGTGTCTGAATCCATCTTGATTTCTGTAGCTTTATGGTCATTCTCAGGATTTTCAGGGATGGTTACCCCTCTTATTTTTCTAAGAAATCTTGGGTATTTTCAGTTTTTTGTTATTGAATGTAAGTTCTGTCAGACCATTGGCGTTCTGATTGGAATTGTTTTGTGTCCTCCGGATTAACGTGGTGAGAACCGTCTTCTAGTCTGGACATGGATGTTGCTGGGTCTTTTAATAAAGTTTTATACTTTTCTCCATAAAGATCTTACTTACCTTTTCTTAAATTTGTTTCGACAGAATAAAAACATACTTTTGCTGCTATTGTCAGTGGTACCATTCTGAATATTATATTTTTCCAAATGTTTGTTGTTGGTGTACACACACAATTGTGTTTTTGAAAAGCAGAGTTTGGAGATTTTGTTTAATTTTTTAACTTTATAAATATGGAAACTTTCAAGCACACAAAAGACATGCAGTGAGGTAGTGACCCCTGGTGCATCCCCCATGTTGTCTGTCACCACTCTGTGCTCATTTCCGGTGGGTCTCATCTGTAGCCTCTTGCTCCCTTTCCGTGGCGTCATTGGATCCTGTCACCTGCTAATGTCTCCATGTGTCTCTGTAAGATGGACTCCTCCCATCATGACCAAAGTCCCAAGATGGAACTGCATTTCAGCCATCCAGATGCTGCTTGCCTGGTTCTCACAGAGCTCTCTCGGCTACTGTGGGAGGTGGGCCCGCCAGGGCAGGTCCACACACTTGTGTGCCTTCTAAGGCCTGCATTTCCAGAGTGCCCTCCATCTTGTTTTCTTTTGCCCTCAAAGTTTACTTATGGAAGGAGCCACGCCTTTCCTAGGGAGTGCAGTTGGTTTTGTTCTCTGATCTTATATCCAGCCATGTTGGTAAATTTCGTTTTATTAATTGCAATCATTTATCTGTGGGAAATTTTGAGCACCCCATACAGACGGCGTCATTTGTGAACAATGGCAGTTTTTTTTCTCTTCTAGTGATTTCACTCTTTATGTGTTTCTCTCCCTTCCTGAGCTAGATGGGACCTTTGTCAGGATGTTGGATGGAAATGGGGACTGCAGATGTCCTTGCCTTACGATGGGGCTGTGTCCCCAATAGTCTTCATCACCTCGTGGGCATCACAGCCTAGCCCAGACCCCTGACAGTGCATAGAACCCGTGCAGTTGGACAAGGGCTTCAACACAGAACTTCCCTTACAGTAAAGTGCTGACCATCCTGTGCATACGCAGGTGACTATTTTGTAGACAGGATGGGATGCAGAACTACAAGACACAGTGTCAAGGATCCTGGAGTTTTCCCTTGTGACCACGTGGCTGACTGGAAGCTGTCAGCATTGAAGTTAAGGATGCAGTGACATTGCCAGCCAGGGGAGAAAGCATGGTCCAAAGCCCCAAATCCAGTTTCCACTGACTGTGGATCACCTTCTTGCTACTATGGTAAAGATCATCAGCCAGACCTTTGTAAGTCAGGGACCATGTTTGTGCTGTCAGTCTGGAAGAATGCAGTTTTGTTTGCTGTGGAACTATCTTTGTTTACAAAAAGATTTCTGACTCCAGTTAATTTCCCCAGTTGTAGAAAGCTGTTTGTGGGTCAGTTTTGTGATGTGGCATTTTTCTGAAAATGTGTTGTTTTGACTACATGTTCCAGTTTATTGAAATAAAAGTATGCACATAGCCTCACCTCACCTCTCCTCCCTGGGCAACACCAAGTGGATGAGAGCACAGACTTGCAAGCAGCCTGCTCCAGCCCCAGCACACCTGCCATGCCACTGAGGCGTGACCTCCTTGGAAGGTACCACCAGAATACCACCCATGTCCCAGTCGTGAGGAGGTGGAGTGAGTTGCCCTACGGGAAGCTAAGCCTGCCACAGCAGCCAGGGGTCGGAATCATATCCCTTTCCTCCCAGTACTAGGTGTTAGACCTTTCTGTTTGCTTCTTTATAATCCATATTGACTGGAACTTGGCAATTTTACAAGTTTCTGTGAAGATGTAACTTCTGGCTCTCTTGATCTTTCTCACACACGCTAATTTTAAAATTGGTGTTCATTTCTGCTTACAATCTTGTTATTTTTCTCCTGTCTTGATTTTTTTTTTTATGTTTTCTGACTCTCAGATTGGATGTTTACCTCATTCAAACCCAATACTTGGTTTTTATTCTTTTCTAATAAAGTATTTAAAATTATAAAATTTCAAAGTACCACTGCTTTAGTTGAGTATCACAGATTTTAAAACATGTAGTACTTTTAATTTTTGTTCATGTCTAAATATTTTCTAACGATTTCTTCTTTGGCCTAGGAATTATTTTATTAAGAAGTGGATTTCATCATTTCCAAACATACATTGTCTTTTAAAAATGATTTCTAGAGTAATTGCATTTCTGTCAGAAAAGAATTGGTGTTGTCCAGAGGTAGGACAGTCTGGAGCTGGGGCTTGGCTGGGGCACTGGGTGGGGTCCTGTTAACCTTCTTTTTGCTCCATTCGTGCTGGGGTAGTCTGTGAAGGTGTTGTGGGTGCTGGCCTTGCAGGCCAGGGGGCCAGTGGGGAGGGGCAGATGTGTTCATTAAAGTCACACTGTCGAAGGGTCTTGAGCTCCCTATTTTCAGGAGCAAAAACCTATGTGTAATATTTTACATAAAATACCCCCACCCAGGTCTTTATTTCATTTGTAGCTGTCAACATTTTTTTCTGTAATTTATGTTATGGTTGTTAAAAACTCCAATAAATGTTCCTTACCCTAAGTTTAAGGCTTCTGTGATTCAGGCGGGCAGAGTAGATGAGGCCCCCGAGGTGTCTGAGGAAACCGTGTAGTGTAATGTGCAGGCTGTGGCAGGGCCTGGACTTGGGGTGGGCAGACACCCATGTGGTGAGGTGTCATTAGACAGTGCTGCCAGATAGGCCTTTGCTCTCACAGGGTCTGGGCAGAGCACTATGGTACCCTGTCCCTGACCTGGGCAGCCCTTCCCTCTCTGTCATACTGATGGCAGTGTCCCCTTGGATGCAGAGTCTGGGTTGACCAGGACATCACTTCACTCTTCTTCTCTTGGGGGAAAGAGTTTATGCAAAGACCTTTTCCAAGCGCTCCAGAGTGACCGAACCCTCCTAGGTATTTCAGGAAGCTGTTGATGGAAGAACAGTTCAGAAAGAACTCCCAGGCCAGCCACACCATCTGTACCTGCTGGGCATGGCTTCTTAGAAAAAAAAAAAGAACCCATATGGAGTGTCCTGACAGAGAAGGCCTCAGACAGACACACAGGCTCTCCATTTGGCGTCTTGGCCTGACACACATTGCCATCTTTGGCTCTGGGGGACCAAAAGGCACATCTTGTGCAGAGATGACAGCAAGGGTACATCCACAAGTTTCAGGGAAAGTGTTCTGGAATGTTTTGAATAAATGAAAATTATCAGAGAAAATTAAGACACATTCTGTATGGTGCCCAAACCTGTGCCTAGGCCTGCTAGGCACTGAGGTGGAGGCAGCCATGGGCTCTTTCTCAGGCCTTAGCCCGTGCGGGGATGGAACATGTTTTTATAAAACACAACGAATGACCCCATGTGGGGGTGTCATGGCAATGTGGCCGGCACATGTGGCGGAAAGCTTTTGCTTTTGGGCTCTGTTTGTTGCCGTGTGGGAATGACTGTCCAAGGCCTTGTGGGCTGCAGCAGAGGGCCCAAGTTTGCGGTCATCTTTCAGAAGAACTGCTTCAGAGAAAATTTCAGAACACCTAGAGTTCTGAACTTGATTTTGGCATTCAGTGAAAGGAGGCGTTTGTGAGGAGGTGGGCTTGTATGGTGCTTCTTGGGCTCAGGGTACCCTTGCATGGGGTCTGGTACCTTTAGCAGTGCACCGAGCCACCTGTGCAGACAGGCCGGGAGTAATTGTGACTGTCCTTTGCTGTCCATAGAGTGTGCTAGATGTTGGACCAAGTTTGACTCCCCCATTTCCCCTGCCCTGTCGCCAGAGAGCAGCTCACAGAAGGCCTGCGTGGGAAAGACAGGGAAGGTGATCTGGGGCCAGTGGGTGTGCCCAGAGGCTTGAGGGCCAGGAAGAGGTACCTCTACTCAGACATTAGGTCTGGGGAGTCCTGGGAAGGCCACCAGAGATGCTGAGTGTGGAGGAGGTTGGGTCCAGCTGGCTGGGCGAGGGTGCCAGGCAGCATTAGTTGTGGGAAAGGAGGCAGGGGTAGGGCCCTTCCCCCACCTCCTAGTAGCAGATGGCATTGCTGCACTAGACTGGAAGGCTCGGTGATGGCCAGCGCTGTCAGACCTTGGAGGCTCCAGAAGAGTCCCTACTCAGCAGGACCATGTAAGGGGTGTTCATGTCTGGAGGTCTGGACTGGCTGGTGTGGTCCTTTTGCCCCAGAGCCTGGACTGTCCCTGCAGATGGCGAAGGGAATACCCTGTGTGTAATGGTGGGGAGGCACAGGTGTGGTGGTGGTGACCTGGGTGGGCTTCCCTCCTGCCATTGAAGCTGTTCTGGTGCTTCCGGGGAGGTGCCCAGAGGGAGGAAGATGGAGCTGCTATTCTTTTTTTTTTTTTTTTTTTCATTTTTCTTTTATTATTCATATGTGCATACAAGGCTTGGTTCATTTCTCCCCCCTGCCCCCACCCCCTCCCTTACCACCCACTCCGCCCCCTCCCGCTCCCCCCCTCAATACCCAGCAGAAACTATTTTGCCCTTATCTCTAATTTTGTTGTAGAGAGAGTATAAGCAATAATAGGAAGGAACAAGGGGTTTTGCTGGTTGAGATAAGGATAGCTATACAGGGCATTGACTCACATTGATTTCCTGTGCATGTGTGTTACCTTCTAGGTTAATTCTTTTTGATCTAACCTTTTCTCTAGTTCCTGGTCCCCTTTTCCTATTGGCCTCAGTTGCTTTAAGGCTGGAGCTGCTATTCTTGAGTGCTTTTCCCTGGAAGGGCTCAGAGCTGTTCCTCCTGTCCTCAGGGTGTCTTCCAGATTTGGGGCTTTGTCCCTGCCTTTGGGACACTCATTCTCCATCCTATAGAGCCCTGGCAGCGGACTTATCCCCTGTCTCCAGGAAGCCACAGTCTAGTTGGGGACAAAGGTCATGTGTGGGGAGAGATGTGGCATTTGGGGGCCTAGCTTGGAGTTCCTGTGAGCTGGGAGGCCATGAAGCACTGAGTGGCAGTGGAGCCAGGCTGTAGACGAGACTATCTTCTGAGCTGCCCGCTCTCTGCCCAAACATGGGTGGAGAAGCCAAGACTCATGCCCACCAGGCTCGAGAGGCCATGCAGTTGGCAGGCAGGCAGGTGTACATGGTGTTCTGGCATGTCAGCTGGCTGAGGCTATTGTCAGCCAAGTGCTGTCCTAGTAACAGCTCTGGAGGACACAGGGCTGAATGCCCTGGTCTTGCCATCCTGAAGTGACTGTAGAAGGCAGGCAGGGCCAGTAGCATGGGGCACCATGCCTTAGAATCCAGTGCCTTGCTGGATGCCAGCAAGGCAGAGCTGGGGTTCTTGGGCCCATGTCTGTACACACCCAGCCATAACTGGGAGCTGGCAGCTATGGACTGAAATGGAAGTCAGAGGTGGCCCAGGTGCTTGGCAGAGCCAAGGCATTAAACACCCACCTTTTGGTGTTTTCCAGGGCCAGGCGTATCTGAAGGCAGCCGGATGTTGGAACCAACCTCGCTACCTACCACTGGCCCAAGGAAGGACTCAGCTGCTGGACCCCATGGCCGGAAGGCAGCCACCCGTGCCAAGAAGAGGAAGCCCAACTTTTGTCCACAGGAGACCGAGGTGCTGGTGTCTAAGGTCAGCAAGCACCACCAGCTGCTGTTTGGCACAGGGCTGCTGAAGGCCGAGCCCACCTGCCGATACCGAGTATGGAACCGCATCCTGCAAGCGGTCAATGCGCTGGGCTACTGCCGCTGCGATGTCGTGGACCTGAAGCACAAGTGGCGAGACCTACGTGCAGTCATACGGCGCAAGCTGAGTGAGCTTTGCAAGGTGGCCCTTGGCCCCAACTCCAGCATGCCACAGGCCCTGGTTCTCACGCCGGTGGAGCAGGCAGTGGCCAAGACCTTCTCCTACCAGGCCTTGCCCCACGAGGACATCAGTCTGGAGCTGCCCAGAGGTGAGTTCCTGGGTAGCTTGCCCTCCAGGCTACTGTTCTGGCACCAGGAAGTACCTTCCTCCAGTGCAGCCTTCTCTCCTGCTCTTCCTTCTCATCACAACTGTCATCATGTGCAGTGTTCTTGCTCATTCGCTCTCTGCTCCACTCACTCATGCGTCTATCCATCTGTTCATGGTTCACAAGCGTTTTATGCACCAGGACTCTTCCGAAGTCAGTTGTGGCTTCCTGCCCAGCTCTTACCTCTCTGTGTCCGAGAGCTGAGCTGAGTCTGCAGGGGGAGGTACTTCTCTTCTCACAGCTGTCCAGTCTCCTGGACCACATCGTAGTAAGTGCATTTGCAGTTGCAGCCCAGTGTGGGCACTTCACACAGTGCTCGCTCAAACATGCAACTCCTGTGTGCTGACGTTTTTCTGTGCTGTCCTGTCCTGTCTTGTGCTACCTTATTCATAAAAAATGCTCTTTACCTCTTGCTGAGTTGGTTTCCTGACCTGGTTTCAAAGCTGCGGTGGGAAACACTGCTGTGCAACTGATTTTACTTATTTTTCCAAGATGGAGTTTCATGTTGTCCAGGTTAGCCTCAAACTCCTGGGCTCAAACTATCCTGCCTCTGCCTTCGGAGTAATTGGGTCTACAGACAGGTGTGCACCATTGCACCTGACTCTGTGACTTTTTCACACCCAACAGAGAGCTCTGTCCAGGCAAATTCATCCCTGCAGAGTCAGATGGGCTGGTGAGATCCAGGAGGGAGGTTTGTGCGGGGTCTCCCTGGGTCTTTTGTGGAGCACCCTGTGGCTCTGGCAGACCCCTTTCCCCAGAGCGTGTGGCTCCTAACAGAGGTCAACACAGACCCAGTGTCCAGGAGCCGAGCTTGCAGCCCAGGCACACTGGGGAGCAGAGATGATGCAGGTGGGAGTGGTCCCTGGATCGGGGCAGCTGCAGATGAGTTAGGCTGTTCTCAGGATGCCTCAGGTCTGCTCCCATGCCCACACGAGTGCTCAGTGAGCTCTGAGATGGCCTGTGCCACCATGTATGGCAATATTGGCCTTGCCTGGAAAAGGTCTGGGCAGGTGCTGAGGCCTCAGGGCCAGAGGGTGGGGCTTGCAGGCTTTGACACACACAGAGCTTGGAACATACAAAAGCCAGCATTGTCTGACTAGCAGCCTCACATGCTCTGAGCCCTTCACTGATGCCTGCTCTTGTCATGTACAGGAGTCTGACACCTGTGGCACTGTAAGTGGGATATGGTGTCGGGCCTTCCCTGAGAGCTGATGAGTCAGAGGCCCTGGAACCTATGAGGCCAAGGACTAGAAGGGTTGGTTCCTTCAGGTCCAGATGAGGAGGACCTCTCTTGCATTGTACAGAAATTGAAGTTGAGGGGACCTGACTTATTTGAGCCACAAAGCCAGAGTCACTCCAGGCCTAACCCTACCATTCCCAGTAATGGGCCTTTGGTTATTGCCATAGATTTTATTTTATTTCTTTATTAGATAATAGTTAGATATCAAAAGTTACTACTTCACCCTTTTTTTTCAATACTGGGGATCAAACCCGGGGACATGCTCATGCCAAGCAAATTCTCTACCACTGAGTGACATGCCAGCCCCTTTGCTCTTTCCAAAGTGTGTTTCAATGATTTTTAGTATATTCTTAGTGTTGTGTATCTGTCACCCTATATAACTCCAGAGCATCTCTGTAACCCCACAGGCAATTCATGCCCTTTGGCAGCCAGTGGCAGCTTCTTCCTCTACCCCAGCGCCTGGCAGTCGGTCTGCTTTCTGCCTCTGGCTTTACCTGTTCTGGCCATCTCCATAAATGTACAGAAAGGTACTTTAGCCATGTACCTTTGTGTCTAGTCTATAATTTGGAGCCTTAGCCTTCTTTTTTACAAGAGGCGTGTATACCCTGTAGTCTGTTGTGGACATTAGGAAACACGTGACGTACCACATCTGTGCCTGTGCACGTCGTGGGCCCATGGCCAGTCTTTCCTCCCTGACTTGGTTCCCGTTGACTGTGAGACTCCTTTTGCACAGTGCTGTTGCCACACCCCCGCCTCCCTGGCCACATCCTCCCCGACGGCTGTCTGCCTTCCTGGTGAGTGCCTTGCTCTGAGCCTGAGCCTGACCTGCCATGGAATGAGCTGCTTCATTCCCCCGCTCCTAATCCCATTGCCAGCTCTTGCTGGGGAAGCTGCTTTGGCTGTCTTTGGTCCTTAGCCCAGTGGCTTTGAGGTCTGAGGACTCCAAGGTGTGTGGTCACATCTGCCAGGGACACAGTGCTCAGTAGTAATGGGTTGTGGGCTGGTCATGGGAAGGAGCCATGATCTGTAAGGGCAGGGAAGTGATGGGTTTTGGTTAGCAACTGCCAGACTCCCTGGGGGCCTGTGCCTGTGGCATGCCTGTTTACAGCGAGCTCTGCTGGCTTACCTGGCTTCTGCCCAGACACATCCTCTCTGTGAAGCCTTCAAAGGTCACTCACCCCTCCCCAAGACTTATGTTTCGGGTGTTACTTAGTGCCTGTGAAAGGGTCTGTAAGCACAGTGCTGCCCGAGGGCTGCCACCTGCCAGGCGTGTGTGCAGGAGGCTTCTCAGAGCTGTCTCGTATGTTGTGCCCCCTCAGCAGGTCCCAGACTGGAAGGCTGGCCTTGGCCTTCTTGCTGAGCACCATGAAGCACTTTGTCCAGAGCACTGGGGTTGCTTCTGAGGAGGGAGGGGATGCTCCTGCATGGTTGTCTGTGTGCCACTCCTTGTCGTGGCACATACTGCTAGCCATCATACACATATAGTCATCAGACAGCTGCAGCGGCATTAGCCTGCCCTTGACAGCCACTGTCAGGCCAGGGCACCCTCCAGGCAGGGGCCTTTTGCCTCCCAACACCACCCTGACTGCTGTGTTTTATCCCTGGGCAGCCGTGCCCATCTCCCAAACCTAGCCCCTTCCCTGGTTACTCATGCAATGCTCACAACTGGGCCTGAGATCCTGCAGGCCACCCGCTCTGCCCTGTGGCATTCACAGTTGCCGCTTTGTGCAGAGGTCAGCCCTTAATGCTGGGCCTTAGCCATGTAACTCTTGCTTTCCTCTTCTGCCTTCTCCCAGCGTGGTTGGTGTCCTTTGAATCTCCTTGCCCTGTGTCCCTCCCTGGGCAGGGACAGAAATCCATCTCTGTAGTCCCTGAGCAAATAAGCCTGACTGTGGGACTTCATTTCTTCATGTTCTTTGAGAGTCAGACACACCATTGAGAGGTCTGGATTGTCCATTTCTTCAGTGCAGCCTGCCTGGGGCACCAATAGGAGCCTCTTAGATGCTCAGACTTTAGATTTGTCTCTGGGACCTGATCAAACGATGCTATGTGAGACAGTGGTTGGGGGCACAGACCCCCATAGTCCTGCACGGTTGCCATGTGGCATTAGAGGTCTTCCTCTCTCTCCCTGCTGTAGCTGGGTCATGTTATATGCTGCTTTGAGATGGGGGCCAGGGATACAGGGCAAGACATACCTTCTTCCTTCTAGGGTTCAGGGTGTCCCATCGTCTCTATCACAGCAGAAGTGAGATGGGGAGGAGGAGAGGAAAGCCCTGAGATAGCTGCCAGGTTTCCCCTCTTTCTTGCTCTTGCCTCTCCCCTTTCCTTTTGTTCCCAGTACAGCAACCAGTGCTCAGGTATATAAAGATGGAATCCCAGAGTTCTCTGGGGTGGGGGACAAGGTGTGGGGCAGGGTAGAGCCATGGAATGGTTCCACTGTGGGTTTGCAAAGGCCAGGCTATGACCATAGGGTTGTCCTCCTAGGACCTGCAGTGTCGCCCTCCAGCTTGTCATGGTTTGCAGCTGAACATGTGCTCCCTGAAGCCAGGCTGTGCCTCATCTTTCTTTGACGTCGTGCGAGAATCCGCCAGGGGGATGGGATGTAAGGACGCAGATGCTCGTGCTGGGCTTTGCCACGGGAGTGGTGGAAGTGTGGGGGATCACGTGACCAGTGTCCCAGGGGCCTTTGTGGTCTGCTTGGTAACAGGACAGTGTTTGCTGTGGGTTCCCTTGCCTGTGAGTTTATATCATCTTCAACAGTGTTTCTGGAACACGCAGTTTTGCCTGATTCCAGCCTAGAAACTTGAAGGTCGGAGATGGGCAGGAAGAGTCCCTTGTCTGTGGGCGGTGAGGTGTGGAGGGCAGAGCTCTGCCAGAAGGTGCTATTGCTCCTTGCTTGGCCTCAGGCTAGTTAAACCTGGGGCTGAACAGCTGACCACCAGGAAACCGTGGCTGGCTGGTAGTGGGGCTGCGCGGTTGGGCTCTAGGTGTGGTGTCAGGTGTGCTGTTTCTTACCCCTCCCATTGTCAGTTCAATGAGGTCTGCGAAGGCACACACTTGTGCAAATGCCCTGGATGAAGGGAAAGGGTGCTCCCTGATGGCAGATGTTCCTCTGTTGCTCGCTGGTCAGTCATCCCCTCTCTTCCAGCCCAAGCCTGAGACCTTCCTGCCTTGCCTTTGCAAAGCACCATGGTTAGTTAGGTCTCTAGCTCCTCACTAGTGGATCTGACTTACTCTTATATCCCACTTGCCCCTGTCAGCCGTCCTTTCTGTTCTCACTAGGATGTGCCCTTTTGGATTGACTTCATTTGGTGTTTCTGTCCTCTGGTTCCTGGGTCTGTCATTGTTTCCAGCCATTGGGAAGTTTTCCTCCTCCTGTTTTCTGAAAGAGTTTGTGCAGAATTGGTATTATCCTTTCTGTAAGTATTTGTTGGAACTTACAAGTGAAGTGTTCTGAGCCTGGAGCTTTGCTCATGAGAGATTTTGAACTACAAGTTCATTTTCTTTATGTTACAGTGCTGTCCACACTGTCTGCTGCTTCTCAAGTGAGCTGTGCGGTGTTTGGTTTCTCCAGGAGCGCATCATTTTGTGTGAGTTGTCAAATTAATGGTCGGAATTTGCTCATAGTTCTCTTTGCATCCTGCGTTTTTCTATAGGATCTGCAGTAGTGTCTCTTTTTTTGTTTCTGGCAATGTAATCTGTATTTGTTCTTCTGTTCTTGATTAGCCTGTTTAATTTTATTGTCATAGAATAAATGTTATTCTGAGACAATAGAATCAATGCAACTGATGTAAACTTACTGATTTTATTGATTGTCTCAAAGAACCAGATTGGATTGCCCTGATTTTTCTCTATCCAATGTCGATTGAGTTGATATTTACTCATCTTTATTACTTTCTTTTTTCTGCTTGCCTGGGGTTTAAGTCGTTTTTGTTAGATTTTTGACTGAGGGCCTTTCTTCTGCAAATGTTTATTGCTACAGACTTCCTCTATGCACTGCTTTACTTTATACATTTTTAAATACATCATGTTTTCATTTCATTCAGACACGTTTTTTAATTTTCCTTGTGATTCCTTACTCTACTTCTGTTGATTTCAAAATGTGCTGTTTAATTTCATGTAGTTCTGTATATTCGCAGGTTTCTTCATGTTTCTGATGTCTGCTGTAACTATTGTGTTCAGACAGTGGACAATGTATAGAGTCAGCTGTCACATATGTGTGGAGACCTGCTTCATGGTCTGAAATACAGTGCATCTTAGTGACTTCCACGTGCACTGACGGGAACTTGTGCTCTGCCCTTGCTGGGAGGGGGTGCACATGGCTGCCCCAGCTGCCCACTCTGCCCTCTGCTGGGGCAGGGGGTCTCCGTGGCTGAGTGCCCATGGTTCTGAGTGCTCATAGCTCTGGTCTCCACGGC